GGTCATAGAGGTCATCGTATCGAAGCCCGTATTTCCTGAGCCATTTCGAGAGGGATTTCATGTGTTGAGCAGCGAACCAATTCTTTGATGGATTCAAGAAAGAGAGCGAGCGCAAGGGAGAGTTGCAGAGAATTGCGTAGCCATGGCTGCGTCCATGTTGCAATCTTACTTGAATCCTATCCAGGTCGGCCTCACCTTCTCCGACACTGACGGTAACCTTCCGGATCTGGGCACCGGTAACCGGTACATTTGTGAATTCAACTTTTGCGACTTTGAGGCAACAAGGGATGGATTTTGAGAAGAACAAGGAGAAGGGAATCAATTCGAGCCGATTCACCGAGTTGATGATGTCGTCGGGACTCATCTGCAATGATTTGGTAAGTTGGGTGACGTTTAACAGCACGTACGATTTTGGGTACCTGGTGAAGATCCTGACCAGCCGGAGCCTGCTGAAAGAGTTGGGGAGAGAAGACGATGCCGATCTGGAAACTGGAGTGCAAAGTCTGGACTCTATCGGCGCCAAGCGAATGCGGTGTTGCTCTCAGCAACTTCGTTACCGCTACTGATCTCTAGATCGTAGAACACGGATCTCTTGCTCCCATTTGTTATGGCTCTGATACCATGTGAAAAACAAAGGAAGCTCCAAACCCCCCCCCCCCCCTTTCCATTGAACCTTATGGTATTTATATACATACGGCGGAGGGGTTCCTTGCTCCCCAAGACTTTCTAAAACAAAGTTTCCTAATCCAGAAAGGAAAGGGACTTCCTATACAGATTGGTATAGGTACAGATGACTTTCAAACCGGGACTCTCACGAGTCTTCTTATCTTCGTCCAATAAATTACATGACCCAATAGTAGCAAAGTATAGTCAATGAAGCACATCTCAAAAAAGCATAGTCCATAAAAATACATAGAATGAGATTATGTTCGTTAGTTAGGGGTTATATCATGTGGAGTTGTTCATTAGGTTGAAATCTGCATCTTCTATTACTAAGTCACACTAGAAACTAGAATCTCGTTGAAATCTTCCACACTAGTTTCAAAACAAAGTTGTGACCGAAACTCTTCATAATTTTCAAACTCAAACTCCTGAAACAGAGAGTTTGTATTCTAGTTGTCTCTAATGAAGTTGTATATTACCATGAAAGCCACAACTATCAACTGTTGTGTCTTCATTGAATAGCATGGCATACTTTTCAATATCAAGAATCAAGCTTTTATCACATTGCTCGATGACATTTCTTAGTGAAACATGAGCATTCTTGAAATATTCTTCTTTAGTTATAGGTCGCCCATCCCTTTAAAAATCAAGCAAATGATATTGTGTATTACGATATGGTGTCATATATCTAGTCATGTTAGGCTAGCAGAGTCCACAACATAATACTTGAGCATTCAAATTATGAATTAGTTTTAAACATGTGTCCACATAATATAGCTCAATTATTTATATAGACATACATACTAGAGGTTGGATTGCTTTAGTGTGACTTGGGTGGTGAGGGTTTAAATCTTGGAAATAGCCTCCCTATATGTGTAGGGGTGTACATCTATGCCTTTCTAGATTCCACATTGGTGGAAGCCTCATGCATTAGGCTATACTTTTTTTACATACCAAGAGGTGGATGCAGGAAATTGTATTTCTGATTGTATATGGCCTCTACAAATATGCAATGGTCAAGAGCAGTTCCCTTCCCTCTAACAAGGACAAATGTAAATCGCATGTTGAAGCAACATATGGTCATTACATTTTGTGTGCGAGGCCCCTTTCTCTGACGGTATAATGTTAGCTTATTAGTAGGGACCCATGTAGAAATGTATGTTCCATCAATGGCTTCTATGTGATTCTATAAAATAAACATCCAATTTCATATACCCATTTATTTTGTTAAATAATAAATCATAGTTTATATAGGTTACCTTAGGCTAGTATTTTGTATTGTACCTCATGCATAGTTGAACAATATTGAAGTTAGGAGGCCCTATGATGGACAATGAAAGTTTAACCACAATCATCGGTACATTATTGAAATGTTTCACTACAATGTTAGAACCGTTCTTGCATTATTTGATTCCTCTCATTGTGCCCAATAGTGTGAAGGAAAATCGCTAATTGTTGCTCCACTATAACATCTCGACTATTTTTAGGGTAACATTTCCTCAAGAGTATTGCACAAGGGCATAAACATGTGTTTGTCCATACAACAAGTTTCATACATTAGCTAGTTTAATAATAATAATAATAATAATAATAATAATAATAATAATAATAATAATAATAATAATAATAACAAGTTTCATACACTAACAAGTTTCATACATTATTATTATTATTATTGTACAAATAATAATATCACAACAAAAAATAGAAAAAAACATCAAAATTCATATTAATATTCCAATAATAACAAATAATGTTTTTCTTTCTAGGATATCATCTAAAACTCATCATGATTTTTTGGCATTTCTCTTAAACTCTCCATGACATTTCAAAACCTTTCTAGAGCCCCATATCAATGAGTTTTATTGTCTAAAACTCATCTTCCGTTAAAATTTATGTTAGATCACCTTTAGCAATCATTAATAAAAGTTGTCCATATAAGCATTTAAGGCCATGTTTGAGAGTGCTTATTTGGGCGGGGACCACACCATTAAGTACTTATTCATGTTTGGATAATAAACTCGAGCACTTATTCAAATTTGTTCTCCCATAATTGTCCTTGGTAAATTTTTAGAATACCAATTATACCCTTTTATAAAAGCACTATTGTAAAAGTAATTTTATGAAAGTACTTTTAGGAAAGCACTTTTAAGAAAGCACATTTATAAAAGTACTTTTACAAAAAAAATTTTAGGAAAGTACTTTTACATGAAAACACTTTTATGAAAGTACATAAAGTGCTTTCCTAAAAGTACTTTCATAAAAGTACTTTCATAAATGTGCTTTCTTCTCCCACGTACTCCTTTAAGTGATCACGGCAGATGAAGGACTTGATCTCATCTTTGAGGTCATAGCAATCCTTGGTATCATGGCCGGTGCCGCGATGGTATTTGCAATATTTCTTTGGATTACCCCTCTTAGGGTTCCTCTTCATCTTTTTTGGCCACTTCATGTAATCCTCCTTCCCTATTTCCATGAGAATTTGCGTTCGGGTGGAGTTGAGTGGTGTGTATTTGTTGAAGGACAGGGTCGGCAGTTTCTTGTTGGAATCCTTGTTGTTGTTGTGGTCGCGGCAGCATCAGTCCTTTCTCTTCTTCTCTGATGCCCCCTGGTTGGGGTCAGCCTCATTCTCTTGGAGACGCTTGTTGGCCTCGATCTCTTCCATGGCGATGCACTTCTCTGCCTTCTTAAAAAATTTTGCCTTGTTCTTGGGTGGTGTTTTAGTGATGGAGCACTTGAGAGGTCTAGGCCAAAAGCCGTTGATTGCAGTGTGCATAGATATCGAGGGGTTGAGATCTTGGATTTCAAGCTCTTCCTTCTTGGAATGATCGATGTAAGCTCGAAGGCTCTCTCTGCACTTCTGCTTGATCGACATGATAGAGACGACGATCTTCTAGCACCATTGGCTGCTGATGAAGTGAGCGAGGAAGAGGTCGGAAAACTACTCCTAGGAGTTGATGAACAGAGGTGGGAGCCCAAAGAACCATCAGTGTGCTACCTCCTTGAAAGTCGCTTGGAAAGCCCGGCACGTCAAGGTGTCGGAATATCCATAGAGGATCATGAGCACTTAGAAGCTTTCTAGGTGATCGTTTGGATTAGTGGTTCCATCATACATCTCCAGTGTAGGAGCTTTGAAATGAGGTGGGAGAGGTTCCAAGGTGATGCAATCAATGAAGGTGTCCATTTTGTTGGGTGAGGGATTCTTATTGGCGGAGGCATCACCTCAACCTTCCTTGACTTGCCTGGAGGTCGATAATCCTTTTGTCGTTGGGAGCTTGGGCCTCGTCCTTGTCTTCTCGTACATGGAACGGGTTGGACTAGTTCCCAAAGTTCTCTGATGCTAGTACTTCTTGGTTCCTTTGGGCCCGGTGATCATTGAGGAGGTCGCGGAGGTCCAAAACAGGTGTGGGAGAGGTGTGGCATCGGCCTCCGGCCTTCGGAGGACGACTGTAGTGGCCAGAGTGCCTGCCTTTCTCCCGAGGAATTTCAACTCGATAGTATACTTCATGGTCTCGATGGTTGTCACGGGACCCTGCTAGATCTCCCCCCATCGGCTGGGGAGGCAGGATGTCTTTGACGGCTTGCTAGCACATCAGTTGTAGCTATTGGACACTGAGGAGTTGGCCTTCTTAGGTCCGACGGGGCGTTGGACCAACGGAGCATGGGTAGAGCGTCCATTGTGGTTCCCCAGGCACCCAGCAAGGCGGTTTCCCTGTGGTCAGCCTCCTCCCAGGCACCCCACCTCGTCCAATCTTTGGGTGATGTTGTCAAGTCTATTGAGGACCATCCTAAATTGGTCCATGGTGACTAGGTTCTGAGCATTCTGAATGTTATCCTAGTTATCAACCATTATGTTGGAAGCTTAGTTGTTGATCAAGTGTTTACTTCGGGGAAGTCTTAGTAGTCTTTCCCACAGACGGCGCCAATTGTTGCTACCAAGGATGGGTCGAGGGCAACAAGGTAATTAAGCTTTTGTAGATGAGGGCTAATTGTATCTGAAGGTTGATGAAGCCGATGGCCTATAAGTCTGACCTATGAAGGATGAAGCATGTCAGAGGCCCTGAGTGTTATCCTAGGGGTGGAGACTCCAACGGTCAAGTTAGTAAGTGTGTAACTGGTTGGACGAGGCATGAGGAGGGAGTACTTAGATGAGGTCACCCAAGAGCTAGAGAGCATAAGAGTAGTAAAAGCCAAGATGGATTACCTCATGGTGACCACATATTTATATCGTTACAAGAGAAACGGTCTATGCCGGCGGTCGTAATGACCGCCACTATAGTGATGTCTGAAGAGGCCTCCCGTTGGGTTCGGAAACAGAGGCGACAGTTTTAAAATTAAACCAGTCTAATACAATCACGCGGGGAATCCAAAATTTTATTTTTTTGCGCACGAAGGCAATGTGCTCCCTAATCGAAAATACAAAAGGTTCTTCCTATGTTTTTGACGGAGAATCTTACAGAGGGATAAACATTGTTCGAAGGCAATCTGCTCCACCATCGACTCCTCGGTTGAGCTTAACACCACAGATGTGGGTCAGTCCATCTTTATGGATAAAAGTAATGAGTTGAAGGAGATCAACTTTCTTTTCTTCTACTACTGTGGAGAATGGATCATGGGAGGTTTTGATGAGGAAGAAGCTTCTTCTAGGGTTCTCTCTCACTGGAGTTGCCAACAGGTCTACTACCTCCTCTAGGGTTCTCTCTCACTGGAGATTTTGATGAGGAAGAAGCTTCTTATCCACTAATACATCTTTCTGCATATCCATAAGGTATCTGGTGTTCAAATTTGGGCTTACTTTCCTTTTTTTGGTTATCTGTACCAGTAAAAGCGCTATCTTTGCTTCAACAAACTTTTGTTCAACTTCAAAATTGGAGCGGTGACCCCTGTCTTCCAAATGAATTCCCCTGGGACTGGGTTCTATGTACTATTAATAGCGATACACCTCAAATTTCGACATAGTAAATCTTGTTTCCTCATATGTGTTTTGATTATTTTCTGGTTTACCAACTATTTATTCTTTTTCATCGTTTATTTTCTTTTACTTTTTTTTTCTACTAAATTTGTTGACTACCAAAGGTACATTATTTACTCATTTTCTTTCAAACAATTCATAGGAATTGCAGTAACTACAGACTTCAGGGATCTCTCCCAGATTTTAGCGCCTTGGATACTTTCCAACTAATGTAAGTAGTTAAATCAGAAACAAAGAACTGTGCAAAAAGCAAGCAAGTGGAAACTTTACTAATTGGTATTTTGTTTTATCATTTCTGTTTATGGTTTGCAGAGACTTGAGTAATAACAGTTTAAGTGGAGAAATTCCTAGCTTCCTGGGAAACCTTCCCAGCCTGAACATGCTGTTAGTATTTCATCACTTTTGCAATTTTGTGGACTAATTAATTTTCTTTGGAAATTGGAACTTTGTATTTCTTACTTCTTTTATTTGCTTTTATCTCTTGTTTGTTATAGAAATTTGGCAAATAACAGCTTTAGTGGATTAATACCTTCCTCACTCACCAATAATAGAAACTTAACACTCTCTCTCCTATTCTTCTTCTTCCTCTCCTCTCTTTCACACTCTTTTTCATTCCTCCCCTGTCTTTCTATTGCAGACCAGATCAGACCACAGCGATTTCTTTTTTCTATTAGATTTCACACTCTCTCCTCATTACTCTCTAGTTTTTTCGCTGCAGATCTGACCAGACCACAGCAAGGTTAAGTTTCCGGAATGGTGAGGAAGAAGTATTGGAGAGGAATAAGCATGTTGAACCTCATTTAAGATGCTGCAATGGTTACTACACATACAACTCAATTTATATCGGTTCACTAGTTCTCCTTGGGGAGCCAAGCTACATAAAATATATAATGTTGTCATGGATTGTCTGAATTAACCACATTTGCTTAGGTTACCTCTGATGTTATCTGATAAAGTCCAACGTTCGAAGGTAGACCCATTTTCTGATTTCAGTTATCATATGCTAATGTAAATACGTTTACAATGGTAGTCTTACTGCGATGGACCTACCTATTTCTGCCGTTTGGGATTCTTGGATTTATCATGACAATCCAGACCATACATCTTAGATGGGAACTTCTAGATTGGCCATTTTCACTCTGCAGTCCATGCCAACCCTATATTGGGTTCTCTCTGGATGACATTATCTGTTCAAAAGTTCCCATTTATAGTTGAAATGAATGACACTAAAAGGGTCCTATCAAGGGTTTTTGGGCTGGAAATCGTGGGTCATTTAAACTTGTATCTTTTTTTTTTTGGGGGGGGGTGGGGGGTGGGGGAGGGTTGAACAATGTAGACTTCTTATCTGAGCAACCTAACTAGATGATCAGTGCCTTAATTATATTTGTCTTATCACATATCAGAAATGATCAGACAAGAAATTGGGAAACTTTGTGATTTCTTTCTCTTAAAGATCTTAGTTGGAATCAAAGTCAAACAATGATGGGAACTCTTCTATTTGCTATGAGGATTTATTGCTCTTAGTAATAGAATTCATACAAATATACAGAGAATGACAACAGACCAAAAGATGCAAGAACTGAAGAGAAATTCTAGGTAGAAGCACAGTTGTCAAGGCATCACCTAGGGGGTTTCCTAGATGATGCCCAGGCAACAAGGTGCTTTCCTAGGGTCACCTTGCCCTTCTTCTTATTGCTTTGTCAAGTTTAGGAAGAAGGGATTTATCCCAATTATTGAAATGCATCAGAAATGGTAGATTTGCCCAGTGATTGATTGCTTGCTGAATCATTGGTGTAGTATATACTCAGTAAGAACTAAGTAGCTAATGATCAATTTTTTTCTTTAATTGTTGACTGTGTACATTTTTTGTACTGTTGCATGCTAAATAATGTTTAACTTGCTAATATTGTTTTTTCTAACAATATTTAGTTTGTTAGTTAGGATTATGGATTAAGCTCGTTGGCTTATTTTAATTATTGTTTTCTATACAAAATAATATTGTTAGTTAGGATTAGGGCTGTCAATGGATCATGATCTGAAGGGATCTTCTTTGAATGAAATGCATTTAACTTTTTATTTAACCGAGAAAACTCCAGAATTAAAAGTAGGGTTGACTATGATGCCAGAAAGACATGATACCAGAAAAACTTACAACCAACCAATAATTTCAAACCTTTCTGGTATCATATCTTTCCGGCATCATAGATTTTCTAAATCAGCAGCATCTGATTGAACCATAATTTCAAACCTGAATGGTTAATACAACACTTGGTTGGATTTTGTAGATTTTCAGTGCTTTCTGACTATAATTATTGCATTTCTGAATTTCGTTCTGCACCATCCAACTAAATATAGTTGGATGATGCAGATTAGTTGTACTTATGATAGCAATGCAACTGTAGTACCTATCACATGAAATTGAACCCATAGTTCCATGCCATTGGATCTGTGACTCTTTTTAAAAATTTTTGTGTTATATTCAGGCACTTGTTGAGTGCGAAGGAGAATCCATAGATATGAGTGGTGATGTTGGTGCTGTTGGTCGAGTAATAATCTCAGAAACACAATCCAAAAATCATGAAATGCTTTTAGCTAGATTTAAAAGGTATGGGATGTTTTGATTTTGGCATTTCTTTTAGTATATCAAAGCTATCCTAGAAACTTTAGCTCGTCTTCGAGTATCCATTTTATTGGTATGTTATTTGATGAATCTTGATTTGTTGTTTGAAACCATTCTAGACAGTAGCAGATCAGGATTCATTTGCTGAAGCCAGAATTGGGAATAAGGTCTTGATGATGATGATGATGATTTTGTCCTAATATCATCACTGGAAGACCTATTTACAATTTGTCAAAATTTAATAAATTTCTTCCTCTCACATGAAAGGAAGCTTTTTGCCTCAATTTCTGTCAGATTACATATGGAAATACATAGTTGGGTATGGGCATTATAGAGATTCTAACCTGATGTTAAAAAAGAGTTCCTGAGTGGGAGGGACCCCTTGTTAAAATACAGTCCATTTCAATTAGTTTTACTTGTTAACCATCAGTTGTTCTGGTTCGAATGTATTTCTGCATCATCTGAGTATTTGGATGTATTTGTGTTAATTTTCAGGAACCATATACAAAACAACCATACTTCCATGCCGAACATTTTGCATTGTATGTCATCCATTGCCATTTCAACTATTAAAATCAGCCATTTGTACTTTCAAAATTTTTATTACTTATATATTAAGAAAAGCTTACATGAATTGTCTGTGTTTAGAAAATGATTATATTGCTAACAATTTACACTGAAGTCTCCTTGTTCAGGTTAGCTTTGGTCAGGCTGAAGCAAAGGTGTGCCAATGAATTACCTGGTCTGAAACTCTTCCAAGCCTTTCCCAATTTATAAATTTCCAATTTCAAAACTAATAGGATGCACTGGTCTCAACCTTCTCATTTTCTTCCTGATCAATGCATTCCTTTTACTGATACAAAGATAGTTTCAAGTCACCTGATACATAGAAAGCAAATTCTAGTTTGAAATACGTTGATCCAAAACATAAATCTAGTTTGAAACATTTTTCCTTTTGCCTACATTTCATTTCTTTTCTTAATAAAATCTCTTTTTCTACCATAGACTTTTGAGAAGGGTTGCCACCTTTAGTTTTAAATAAAATCTCTTTAATCTTGTTACCAATTATAGTTCTAATTGGAAGATCTTCCTAAAAAGACTTGCCAAATGCCTATTTAATTAGATGGTTGAGATAGGCTTTTCTAAAGTTAAGAAAAATGTTACCAATAATGTCAAATCGTTTTTCTGCTCAAAGATGTCAAGTATTCCTCTCTAACCATACTGAATACAGTTCCAAAGCACATTCCTTTTCTTATTCAATCCTTTCAGATTCTAGCAACCCAATGACTCCACTGAATATGGAACAAGCTATTGGACTTCAAAAGCCTTAAAATACTGATGCCAAGTTCTGCTTGTGAAGCTACAAGGGTTATTGCTAGAAATGGGGTGGGATGCAGGATAGAGGGTAGCAGCTATTTCATGTCACCTCAAACCTCTACCAGGGTCCTCTTTTCCCCCTTAGGCCTTAACATGCCAAATCCTTTCATTTTCCCATGTAAACGTGCGGTTGCTCCTGTAGTGTAGGGGTGCAGTTGTGATCATGGAAAGACTAAATGATCTTTGGGTATCATTATAAATCTACAATAATGAAGATATAAGGATTCTTAAAGGATCAAGTTCAAGTATCTTCTAATTTTCCTATATATTATCATGATATTCCCTGAGTATTCTTTCTTTATAGTTGCATACAATCAAATAGCATGTTGAGAGTGTCTTTCCTTTGGCCAATTTCCTATAGTTATGTGCTCTGAATTTGGCAAATTTCCCATTGAGAGTGTCTTTGGCAAATTTTGAACTTACATTGCATCCTAGATCCTACCCATTACATGTGCTTTGAATTCACTGGTCTTACTTTGTCTACATTAATGTGAGTCAACAGTATCCATCTTCCTGCATAGTTACTGTTTAGCTAGTGATCCAACTTTTTAGATTCTACCTTTTTGTAAATTTTAGTTACTATTCCTATCTTTATAGTTAAAATACTTGAATATAATTCTAATATTTATATGTTTTGATTTGCATGTTCAACCAATATGTTAAGTGGATTTGCATTGGAAGATGTGTTGCATTATTAGAGAACTTGATTATTTTTTTAAGTTCTTGTACTATTTATATGTCAATTGGATATTGTATTTGAACAATGTCTTTTGGATATTTTAATATAATATTTGAATTAATAGATTTCATTTTAAATGGATTTTTATCAAATGGTTTTGTTGTATTAAACAGGTACGAAAATGCTAAACCAATAAACAATTTATGTACCACAAAAATGTTGCAATTAAGCGGGTATATGAATTTTTTTTGAAAAAAAAAAGGTATATTCCGGCGATCATGTCCGCCAGCTTAGCTATCAACATGACAAAAAAAAATGTTAGAATTAACCTGGTATAAATAAAAATGAAAAAAAAAAAGATCTAAGTTGGCGGTCATGCAACCACTGGTTTAGCCACAAACAACACCTAAGGCGGTGGTCATATAGCATATAAGCCGGTGGTTTAGATTGCCACCAAAAAATACAAGTGATGTTGGCAAAACCTAAGGTGGCGATCATTTAACACCTGAGCCAACAGTTCGGACCACCTCCTAAGAACACGAGGGAGTTTGACAGAAATCTAAGGCGGCGGTCTTAGGCCTAATTAATGCTAAGCTGGTGGCTCGGTATGACTGTCGCTTCAAATTCAACTGACCATCTAAGGCGGCGGTCTTTTGCATCTAAGTTGGCAGTCTCTTGTGGTACCTGAATTGTTTATTGATTTAGCATTTTAATGGGCCTAAGTCCCAAAGTGGTTTGGATTCTATTGATTTAGGCCCAAATTACTAAATTATTTTGCACCTAAGTTGGCGGTCTTTTGCATTTTATTGATTTAGGCCTAAAGTGGCCATGCAACACCTTGGGACATGAACCATTAAAGAAAATGGGCCTAAGGCCTATTACTGATATGATTAGTTAAGAGGTTACATGACAACTTAAGTTGTCATGTGATTTAGGTTGAAAATGGGCATGGATTTGGGTATGGAGCATTCATTCTCTTAAGAAGATAATGCTTATCAATTAAAGATAGAGTCTTTGTCCAAAATTGATTTAGATAAGCTCTTAATTAGATTAGCAGAGTGCTCTATACAAGGGACTAAGGGGAGGGCAAATTCACTAGTTCTTTCCAATTTCTCGCTCTCTTCTCTTCTCCCTTACTTCCCAAAAACCCTAATTCGACCTAACTGTAATAGGGACTGATTTCCATCAATTCTCTAATTTGTTTTTGCAAGAAAAACATTAGAGGATATCAGGTTTACATACCCACATCGATCCAATCAAGTTTTGAACCGGTTTTATTGAAACGGTATTGTTGAATTGGCTTCATGTACACATTACACCATTTTCAATTAGAGGCCAATTTTGGGATTGACATTGGGTGTGAGTTACCACTCTAGGAGATGCACATTGTGGTCTCCATATTAGGTATGATCGGTTTTAATTTGGGTTTCAAGTCTGGTCTAGTTTAATGCAAAACCAATCCCGAAATTTTATATTTTAAAATCATTAGGAAATTGGTTCCTGGGTTGGGTTAGAAAAATTTTATAAATTCGGCCAGCCACCAAACTTGGTTTGGCCATGTGAAACTTGATTTCTAACCCTTCCAACAATGTGGGCCGGGCTGGGCTAGGCAACAACTTTAAAAGCTATTAATACACTATCAAAATTTGGCCCAAGATCTTTTATTTATTTATTGGTTAATTAATTGGACTATAGAATGGGGGTAGCCTATCCCCCATAGCTCCTTCAACTTCAATATTAATAATTTTTATCAAACAAATAGTTAAAAATCCAAAAATAATGCATGCATGGGTTGTAAGTCCAATTACAAATGTCACAATGCTCTTAGGGGTGTAACTTGGGCAAATTGGGTTAGGTTGAGGATCAACCCAAGCCCAACCCAAAGTCTTAAACCTCAAGCTCAGGCTAAGATTAATTTAATTATGACTAAAAAACTTAACCTATAGATTAGTTTAATTATGACTACAACCTAATTTTATAAAATTAATAATATTTAAATAATATTTACAAAAAAATTATAAGATTTAATAATTAATAAAGTAAAATAAATAAAATAAACACAAATAAATAATATGAAAAAGTAATTATTTTATTAAGTAAATAGCAATATTTATTGTTTTTGTTAAAATTTATTAATATAATTAATCCAAATCACTAAATCACTAAATTATTTAAGCAATAAATTACTGAAATAAATATAATTATTTTAAACAACATTGCATTCATTGCTTATAATAGTTATTAGTTTTTGTTATTTCATTTTCCCTCGACAAATCCCTTGTATCTTACAAGTCGCTACTAATATGTAACAAAACAAGACATGCCATGTCAACATGGCTCTCCTTTCTCCCCTCCATTAATCTATTTTGTGGTTTTTCTATTTTTTTCTTTTTAAATTGAACAAAATTACTTAAGTAGCCATTCCACTTTAAGTGTTTAAGACTTTCATCTCTCCTCATTAACTCAGCATTAACTCTTTCTTCTCTTTCTCATTAACTCCTTTGATTCTCTCTCCTTATTAATCATTCCATTAACTTTCTCTCCTCCAATAACTCGCTCCACTAATTCTCTCATCTCAATTACTTCATTAAATTGCTTAAAATTCATTTAGTCTTTTCCATTTTTAATTTTTTAATTTTTCTCTTTTCCGTTTTTATTTTATTATGTCTCCTCTCATTAATCTACTAAATCAAAAGTAATTTGTTTAGGGGGTGATCATTTCAATTTAGCGTGCCCCCAAGTCTGCATTAGGCCTAAAACTTCAAGGTCAACATGGGCCAACAGTTAAAGAATTAGCTAATAAAAATATCATAAATAGTTAAATCACCTAAAAATAATGAGAGGGAGAATTATAAGAAATAAATCCCACCCCTTCCACCATTAACTTATTTTAACATGTTTCTATAGGCCTCTTTCATTGAGGGTGTTTGGTTCTGTTTACATTTATGGGTGGCCGTTTATTTGTACTTTTTCACTTTAACGTTTTTTACTTTTAATGTTTCATATTTTTGTTGTTTGGTTGGGCTTCACTTTAAACGTTTTTTACTCTCCACCTTAGATTAATACTCGTTAAAGTGTGACACATCAGCATTTGGTTTCAAGAAACGCTGGGGCATTTGGGGATCAAGAATTTGGCATTTCCCCAAATGCCCCATGCACAAAAATCAAAACATTTCAGCTTTTTACCTTTTATTTGATAAACGGTAAAACCAAATAGTTGTTTCATTTAGCTTCATATGCAATAAATGCCAATGCCTATGTAGCACTAATGTGGTGGTGTTTTTTCAATAAACGCCAACGGAACCAAACACATACATTAATAGCCTATTGTATTCTAGAGAGAGAGAGAGAGAATTTTACTCTCATCCAAATCCCATTTATTTGTTTCATATTCAAAATCTATTTAATTGGTTAATTGTTAGAAAATTATAATTTGAAACATAATAACTAAAATTAATAAAAAAATTATAATGTAATTAAAATAAATAATAAATAGTAAAAAATTATTGAAAGTAATAACCATTTTTTCCATATAAAAATTAATTAAAACAATAAAATTAATAATGCCCCAATTAGAAATGTCATAAGACTCCTACTTAGGGGTGATCATTTCAACTTCTCCTAACTTGGTTAGACCTACAAATTTTTAGGCTCAAACAATTATATTCTTCTAAGCTAGGTCTAGCTCAGATTTGCACCAAACCTACATATAATGTAGGCAATAGGGTTGTAAATGGATCGATTTAGATTGGATACAGCTACATCCGCATCCACATTCGATGATATGTCAGATTTTGGATCAAATTCAGATTTAATCCACAACCATCTTATTGTGTTTAAAATAACCAACAAAAATTAAAAAGATTTTAAAGAAGCTAACTTTTTTAAATTTATAGTACAAAATATTAAATTTATCAATTATAAACTTTATATAATTGGGTGTAAATTCTAACATCCAAATCCAAGATAATTGGATTTGGAGTCAAATCGGGTATTAGCCTTTCAAAGTCCTTTGGTAGCCCTAGCGGGCAGGGCCCAAGCTAATTAACTCCTAAACTCAACTTGGAAGTTATATGCATACGTATTTAGATAACAAATTCTATATTAATTAATATACTAATAGAAATTTTTATGCATTTTTTACAATAGACTAAAATTAAGTAAAACTTTTAATTTGTAAAAAAAAAGACCATGGTTTTATAATTAACACAGCAAGCTTGTCCCTTTCCTAGGCCTAAATAAATATTATTACTCTTAGGGTGTGGGTCAATTCAAGCTAAGCAACCTTTTAATACACTATTGAAATCTATCCCTATATTTATTTTATTTTATTTTATTTTATTTTATTTATTGGTTCATTAGGCTACACAATGGGGGTAGCCATCCACAATAGCTCCTTTGGTTTCAATATTAATAATTTTTATTTAAAAATAGTTAAGAATGAATAAATGATGCATGCATTGGTTGAACTCGATTTGATTTAGTCTAATTACGAGTTTTACATTGCTCTTAGGGGTGCAACTTGAGGGGTTGGCTTAGGTGGAGGATCAACCAAAGCCTAAACTGAAGTCCTAAACCTCGAGATCAGGCTTAGATTAATTTAATTATGACTATAACCTAATTTTATATATTTATTAATATTTAAATATTTTACATATTCAAGTAATATTTACAAAAGATTGCACCATTTAATCATTAATAAATTAGAATAAATAAAATAGAACACTATGATTTTATTAAGTAATTATTATTATTTATGAAAAAATATGAATATAATTAATCCAAATTACTAAATTATTTTTGTAAGATATTATTAAAATGAGAAGGTTTGGGCCTATTATAGTTAAAAAAAAACTTTTTTTTTTTAATTTTTGGAGTTGGAGGAACATAATGATCCTTAAAAGGAATGTGTGAGGGCCAAAGACGTCACACCACAGCTCTCACACGTAGGCGTCTCTATTCTCAATGCTTACACGTGTGCAGTTCCAAGTTTTTCAATCATCTTTTTTTTTTTTTTTGGTAAACCAAGTGTTTTAATTGCTAATACTTATTCTCATTTATTGGCATTTTTAATTATTAATGGTG